CGACTACATGCACAAGTTGAAGTACACACTCAACACGACCCCTGAACTTTCCCTACCCAAAGTTCTTGCACATATACAAGTTCCATACTTCACCGTCTGGGTTGACGGTAAGAAGGCACCGTTGAGGTTTCCCTACGCGGAGGGCAACCACTTTGTTACAGAATTGCGGCATGAAGTGATGAGGGATTTCGGGTGCGCCGCAGCATCTGAAGACGCACATGCCATGAATGCCTCAAGAACAGGTAGGAACGATTGCTTTCTCTGCAGATGCGTTTGTCGACAGGGAACGAGATATGGAGTGTGCTTTGAGAACAGTTGTCTGCGGGGCCGTTGGCCTCTGCGGGACAACATTGCAGGCGGTGTTTCCAATCTTGGGGACGCCAGTCACGCAATGGAAGGCGAGAGCTTCAATGACGACGTACGCAATGCTGCAGGACCGACTTGGGGCGATTGCCTCAGCCAGTGGTCTGACAGTCCAGCAGCTGAGGAAGTTGAACGAGCCTTTTTGCAGGGAGCAGATGTTGGCGGGGGCCAGCACAACTGCAGGTGCCCTGCTTCCGAAGTCTCGAAGGCAGAACCTGATCTGCAGGATGTTGCGTTGGCTTTTGCTCAGGGGGCCCTGGGTTCACCTGGCACATGGGGCGGCCAGTGCTTCTACAAGGCCAACACGATCATGAACTACCCCAGCATCGAGCTGACCTTAAAGATCCCCCGCAGCCTCTACGCTGAAGGTGATGGCAGTCCGAGCACAGAAGCGCCTTCGTGTGCCTCTGAGAGTGGTGGCGGCCAGTCCTCCTGCGTCGACGAGTCGATTCAGGACTCCTTCGCCGGGGTAGAGGTAGAGTGTGGAGAAATTCAAGAAACAACCAAGACCCGCGAAGGGCAAAAATTCGTGTTTGCGGCCAGTACCTCGTTCGGGGCTCCCGCTGGTAGCTGCCCGGAATGAGTGCCATGGCAAGGGTGATTTCAGCTGGGGCGGCCAGATCGACCACGTCTTCGGCGGCTTCATCTGGGAAGATGCTCATGATGCAGGCAGCCCAGGCAGCCACGGCAGACCAATGCAGAATGACAATGCGATACACTGCAGCCTTGAGGAGAAGCAGTGCGGTCAGCATGCAGTGATTCCTTGTTCCCCCCTAGGGTTTAGGTCCCTTGCCCCCCTTGATAGGCCTAGTGGCGTACCTGTGTGCAGTGCCGAGCCCGGCCGAATTGACGACGACTGGGTCACGCCATGCTGCGAAGGTGACCACCCGCCTGCCAAGGTTGCCCTTTCCCCTGTAGGGTTTAGTTCCTCCTTGCCCGGGGTTGCTAGGTCTAGTGGGGTACCCGTGTGCAATGCCGTGACCGGCTTATGTGATGCAGACGGTGTGCCAAGGCACACAGGTGCAATGCAGATGGACGCATGTCTGCCAAGGGTGCCCATTCCCCCCTAGGGTTTAGTCCTGACCTTCCCCTAGGTGGGTATCTGTGCCAACATCGGCTTTGCAAGTCAGGTTAAGGTGAGTGCCTTGATGCTCCAGGATCCCCCCTAGGGTTTAGGCTCCCCCCGCCCTAGGAGGTTCCCAGGACTCTTCTGGTATCAACCAAGCACAGACTGCAGTGCTCTGGATGCAGAATGGATTGCTGTGTGAGGAGACCACTCGTGATAGTGATGAACAAAGTGACCTAAGGTTTGCCTTCTGCCCAGGCTTATTCGGCGAAATCACCGCATTTCATGCTGAGGAGCCTTGCTGCAAGCTGTGTGGTCCAAGATGGTCGAAAGGCCCGAGCACATCCACTATTCTTGCGTGTAGTGCACCTTATGCTGTTGTGTCGAGGCAGCACCCTAGTGTACTCTGTGCATGTAGGAGCGCCAAAGACTGCGATGTCATGTGTACTCTCAGGTTTGCTTCTTGTCCGGGCTTACTTGGTGAAGTCACTGCTTTTCATGCTGAGGAGCTAGGCTGCAGACTGTGTGGTCAAAAGTGGTCGAAAGGCCCGAGCATATCCCCAAGTCCTGCGCGTAGTTTCTTGCATGCTGCGATTCCGAGGCTGCACACTAGTGCACTTTGTGCACGTAGGAGCGCTGAACATGACTATTCTTTTCTTGATGCTGAGGCGCTTGTGAGGTCGGTTGGTGTTGTTGAGGGGCCAGTTTGGTCGAAAGGCCTGAGCACATCCCCCAGCACAATTCCCACTCCCATGCTTTCGAAGTCGAGGCAGCACACTGGTGTACCATGTGCACGTAGGAGCGCTGATCCCGAATGCTTTTCGTTCGGTCTGAGGTGCTTGCTGAGTCAGCTGGTGATGCTGAGGGTTCAGGTTGGTCGAAAGACCCGAGCACATCCCCCAGCACAGATGCGACCACTTGCCCATGTTCGAGTTCGAGGCTGCACCCTGGTGTACTTTGTGCATGTAGGAGCGCCTGTGATAACTGCTCATGTGTTGCATGCTCTTCGAGTTCACGACTGCACCCTGGTGCCCATTGGGCATGTAGGAGCGACTGTGTCAATTGCTCAGGTGAGGCTTGCTCGGCTAATTGTAGGAGATTGCCTTGTGTTGTTGCGGGTTCAAGTTGGTCGCAAGACCCGAGCACATCCCTTTTCAAAGAGGCTTCTCGGCATGCCGAACATTTTGAGCCGAGAGACACATGCATTTTGAGCAAATGCTGGGATTTTATTTGTGGGCTGTCCTGTTGCTTGCCAGCAGCTTGTATTCCGAGTTTGCAAAGGAGCTTCTCGCCCTTACTGGGGGTTCGCATTGGCGAGGCCTCCCATCCCGGGCCCCGTGGGCCATCGGGAAAAGGAGGAAATGGAGGACTAAATGTAGATCCAAGCGGCCTTCTTGGCCAGGATTTCTCAGCCTCCATTCGCAAGTTTGTTGAGCAAGCGGTTCATAAAGCCATCCAGGAAGCACTTCAAGGCCTGTCTTTAGGCAACATTGGAGAGATCGTGCAGGAGCAGCCAGGACCGAAACGCCGCAAGCGCCAACATGAGAGAGCTAATGCACCAGCTCCGAGCAATCAATGAACCTAGTTCCCCCCATGACGAAGCCAGCAAGCCTACCAAAGGGCCAGGCAAAGGGGGTAAGAAAGGGTTTGATGCAACGATGCCGCAAGGTGCTGCTGGCAAAGGTAGGGGACAGGACGGCGGTCACAAGGGCAAGGGTAAAGGGCCGAAGGGTTCTGCCAACAAGCCCCCTAAGCCTGACTCCGGCCATGAAGGTGACGAGTGGACCACTGTATCCCGGCAAAAACCGCAAGTGCCGTGGCAACTTCGGGATGCTGATTGGTCGGCCCCTACTTTTAACTTTGATGACGTTGCCGAAGCAATCGAGAAGGCCACTGGCGTCTTCAGAGCTGTTGTGTTGTGTGGTCCTGAGCAAGCTGACCTTCTTGCCACAATCCTGCTCGGATCTAAGAAACCTCACGGTGTCATTGCAGTCACGCCTGATCATCCTGAGGCCTCTGCTCGATGCCCAGGAGCTGTAGGCAACACTTGTGTGTTCAAACAGGTGCAATTTCATCACATCAGCTCTGCTGGTGTAGAGCTGCCGTGCCCAAAGGTTTTGGCCACCAAAGCTCCGAAGGTTGTTGCTTCCAAGACTGCGGTTATGTATGTTCGGGTGTATAAAAAGTATGTCGCCAAAAATGCGTGGAAGGACATTCTTGCCAACCCCCAACGCGCCTTTCATCATTGGATTGCGCAGCAGCATATGAAGGTTCAGGACAGTTGGGGATGGGCTAAGGAACAGACCCAGGGTGAGGATTCCAAAATTTATGCCCTCTTCAGAGTTCCTGAGGCCGATGTTGCAGCGTTTGCTGCTCTTAGCGGGCGCGATGGGTTTTTCATCGACCCTCCGAGGTGGACGACTTTTCCTGCATTTTCTGTCCAGTGGGCAGAGAAAGAGGCCAAGGAGACAGACCTTGAATTCCTCCAGCGTGTTCGTGCCGTTGAGTCCAAGTTCGGGGTTGTTGTTGGGCGTCGAGGGTTGGGAAAGCGCATTGCCAGGGATGCAAATCAGGCGATTCCGCGCACCTGGTTGCTTGAACATGCCCCATATGAGTGGGGATCAGTGCAGGCGACGAAAGCAGTCTCGACCATTTTTGAGAATGTCACCATGCTGCGTCAACAGCGGACGAGGAAAGGTGTAAATTTTTTCTTTAGGGCCGAGCATGCTACAGAACACGATGTCATAGCACTTCCGTTCGAAGACGGAGATATGCTTTGGTGTAGGTGGGCACCAGTGCGAGCCAAACCGCAGGCCCAAACCATACGAACGAATGGCTCATGGTCCCTTCTCCCCCCTCGCGATCCCTTTGCCGAAACCAGCAAGGTCGCTCAAGATGTGTCCCAGGATGATGCTGAGGAGGTGCCTGCCAATGATGCATCCATGGAGGCATCCTCTAAGCAGGCACCGTCGGAGGGAAAGGAGGCAAAGCGAGAGTCTACCAGCAAGGGCAAAGGTGTGGCCAAGCGAGTTTGCACCGAAACACGGGATTTGCCTAAAGGGGTTGAGCAACAGCCGGCGCCCACTGATGGGAGCTGTTTGTTCCATGCAGCCTCTGCCGCCATTGCTCACATTCTCAAGTGCGAGCCTGAGGCGCACAGTGTGCTACGTGCCAAGGTTGTGCAACATTTCAAGAAAAACTCCTCCCGATATGAGGCCATGTGGGATAAGGAGCTCCCGGACCGTTCTCAGGGCAACAGTTTTCAGGATTACATCTCGGCCGTTGCAGTTGTTGATAACTGGGCTGGGCCCATGGAGCTCGCTGCCTTGGGTCGGATTTATGACATCAAGTTTGTGATCTACCCGAGGTCTCCGGATTTGGAGGTGTGTGTGCTGTTCATGTCAACCAACGGAAGCGGGTCGCTGCCCTTGCTTTCACAGGAAGCCACTATGAATGGCTCAAGCCTGTCAACAAGCTCCCTCAGGAGTTGTGCGATGTCACCACCCCTCCACCCCAGGTCTCAATGCGAGGCGGAGGCAAAGAGCGGAGTGCGACTGCCAGCTGCACGGGTTCAGTTCGATCGGTCTGGACTCGAAAGTCCAGGCAAAGTCCTTCGCATGCCTCATCGGTGTGGACCACCTCGAGCCCTAAGTCTGCATGGACCGTAGAGCAACGACCTGCACGGACCCACAAGGTCGACCATACATCAGTTGCCACGGCTGCTTCTGTAACTGAGGACTTCTCTTGTCTGGACCCCGAGTTGCACGAGCATGCGATTACCCCCAAGATGCCAACCGAACGCCAAATTAGGTATTGGGGACGTGCAGGCTTGAACCTCAGTAGGAAGACTGCTGTTGTCTGTCCGCTCTGCCCGTTTCGCGCCACAGCAAAGGATGCAACACACCGAAATCCATGCTCTATGAACATTACAGGACCCACCATCCTGGAAGGATTCCCTCTGGGGTCCCACATGGAGCCAGGCAGCCATCGATCATCAAGGCCAGCAGTGGTGGTGCTGTTCATTGGAAGTGTCCACTCTGTGAGTTTGGCATTCCTGCGCAAGATGCTTTTTCTAAAAGTGCAGATGCTGTCACTGCTGACAAATTCGCGCATTGCAAGGCTGCACATGTCAAGGTGACGTGGACCAAGTTTAAGGCCCTGGATCGCAAGCAGACGCTTGAAAAAGCGGCGGTGACACGCCGCGGTCGGGAGTGCATCAAACGGCTCAGTGCTGCAAAGGGCACAGAACTTGAAGGCTACAGGTTGTTCTGCTGGCCCAGGGCTGCACCTCTCAAGACATTCGCTGAAAAAGGGGGACTCAGTTCTTCTTTCGGTTGGATGTGCCTGACGTGTCAGTCGCCCTTTCGATGCCCAGGCGACGCCCTCACCCATGCCAAGAGAGGACTGTGCTGCCCCACCATTGCCAAACGAAAGGCTCAAAGGAGGGTTGATGCCATTAAAGCCCTCACCAAGGCCCACTACAAGAATACCCCGAAAGGGCCCGCCAAAACGAGAGAGAGCGATCTGCTCCGTACTGCCATTACGATTTTCAGCTTGCCGCTTTCATCCGCATAGCCACCTTAAACACTGTTGGCAAGGGCATTTCTGTTGTCAATGAAATTTCCAATTTCATGGACAGCCACAACCTTCAGATTTGCACTGTGGCTGAGGCTGATATCAATGTGGCCTCCGCACCTGGCTACATCCGTGCATGGAAGCTTCGAGGTTATCAAGCCGCTCTGTCTGCGCCTGAACCTTCGGGGCTTTGCCGAGTTGCCTTAATCAGCCGTGTGAACTTTCGGGTTTTTAAAATCGCTGAGGGCCTTGCTCAACACAGGTGTGCTGCGGGGCTCTTTGAGTTTCGCAGCAATGACGAAGATCGCCAATTTGTTATTGCTTCGTTCTATGGGCAGTCTGGGAATGCACCTGCAGCCGCAGCGCAAGCTGAGGATGTTCTAGCTGCTTGCAACCATAGTAACCTTCCATTCATTGTTGCCGGTGATTTCAACTTAGAACCCAATGAAGCAATCATTGGCGAGGCCAGGGCGACGGGGGTCATTAAGTCATTGGACGACGCCTCTGGCGGGGCCCCGTTGCCTGCCTGCAACAGGCCCAGCACGCAAACGCAGAATCGATTATGGGTTGTGCCATTGGTCGGTTGCTGCCAGTTCCATTTTGCATTTTGACCCAGCTTTCTCTGATCATGCATCGGTCTGTTATGAGGTCCCGTTGGATGTGCCACCTTTCATGTTGGGCCCCGACGCAGTCCCATTAATGATGATTCCAGGGATATCATTGCTGAAAAGTTTTCTCAGCTTGATTGTACGCCGTTTCGGGCGGCTCTGGACCAAGGCAATGTCGATGATGCATGGTGCATCCTTTCAGATTGGGCTGAAGCATGCCTCACTTCTGGCAACTCTGAGGCTTTACCTCGCAGCAGCTGCTGGAAACCAAAGGAACTTGATTGAACAGCTGGCAGTTGCCTCCAGGGCTCGGCTGCTGTCAGGGCCTTAGCCAAACTTCAGCGTCAGCTTGCAGCCTGGTCCGAAACGGGTGATCAGCATGTTCTGCAAAAAATGTTTCGGTCGTTACCCCGTGTTCGAACAATTGTTCCTGACTTGCCATGGGTTCAAGAAGACAATCTGAAAACACTAAGTGACTTTGTCGATGCAGCACTCCCTCACCATCAGAGGCAGGAGGCTGCGGCTGTCAAAGCCCAGTGGAGACAGTTACTTCGCGATGACGTCAGCCGCCAACGAACTTTTGTTAAGTCTAGGGCTGATGCTCAACTTGATTTTGAAAAAAGGCAGCTTGTTACCAAAGAGGCTAAACTTGCAGGCCCTGTGCACCCCTCTGTTATGGTTCGGGATCAGACCAAAGCATGGGTTCAAAAGTGGCAAGCCAAGCCTCAAGTTAAGCACGATGCCATTGACCAGGTTTTGGCTAAGGTGCCAGCGGTTAGGAGTACACACCTTGAAATGGACTTTAGTGCCGAAAGCCTCCGATCCATTTCGGCCTCGATTGCGGATAAAGCACCGGGGCCGGATGGTTGGTAAGCTGGCTGCCTGTGCAAAATGCCCCTGAGCTGGTGGGCTATGGCAGCTGAGATGTGGAGTCACATCTGGGCTACGGCCTCTGTCCCTAAGCTTTGGAAGTATGCTAAAGTGACGCTCATTCGGAAAAAGGGTGGGCCCACCACCAGACCCATAACTCTGACGCAAATCATGTGGCGCATTGGTGCCAAATTTGTCGCCCGTGGGCGCCCGAGTGGGCTTCGGAGAGTGATCACGGTGGCCTCCCGGGACGTTCCATCAGTGACGTCCTCTTTCAAGTCCAAGCTGCTCTCAATCGTGGCATGCATACTGCTGCTTTGATGGACGTGGCAGGTTACTTCGATGCCATGAATGCCACGATGTTGAAGAAGGTTTTTGCTCATTTGGGTGCACCCGTGCAGTTGGCTCCTCTCATGGAGTCATTCTGCTCTGGAGCCTTTAGGTACTTCTGCTTTGAAGGTTCGTTTGACCCAGAGTATCATGTGGTGCGCTCCGGTGTTGCACAGGGCTGCCCACTCAGTCCCATCGCTGCTGCAGCCTTGTCACATTGTTGGAGTGAGTACATTAAGTCCTCTTGTAACAACATATGTGTGCAGATTTTCATTGATGACCGCACTTTGATGCTGGAACCTTCGGGATCTTGTCAGGACCTTGAACGAGCGATAAGTGCAAGTGCAACTTTTGATGCTGCCTTTTCGCTGAGCCTCTCGCCTGACAAATGCTTCATTGCCTCGAGCCGGCCGAATGTGCAAACGGCCCAGCTCGCAGACCGATGGGGTTTTTCAACGTGCTCGCATCTTGAATTGTTGGGTGTTTGCTTTGACTTTGAGGGCAAAGGCACCATTCCCAAGTTTTCTTTGAGGAAGGCGGTTCTCCGCCTACGGTTGCTACGTTGGACTCAAGCTTCGACCAGGGCTCGCATCAATTTGGTGAGGGCCCTCATCATGCCGTGCTTGGCCTGGGCCTCGGGTTTCGCTCAACCTTCTCGTGATGATTTGGAGACTCAGGTTTTTGTTTAGTGGAGGCTATGGGGGCGACACAGCCACTGTAGCTTTCTTTGAGCTGCTTGGATGGGGTCTAGAACCCCATTTTGCACTTGATCTTGGACTGTGTCGACTTGCCTGGCGGTGGATTGCAAAGCCCCCTGTCTGGCAGGAGCTACTTCCGATCACCGCAAATCCACGTAAGTGGCTTGAGTGCCTTCCGCAGCTTCAGGAGCTGTTGACCAGAACGGGTTGGTGGTTGAGCGACCAGGCCGATGCCTTTTTCCGGCGCGATGCCCAAGGTGGACTAAATTTGCATTGGGTTTGAGAGCTTCGCTTGCTTTAAGATTTGGCTTGAGGATTTTTACCGTGATCAGTACCTTCGACGCTGTAAAAGGGTTACACATAGTCTTCACAGGCCGCCTGAATCAGATTTGGCCCAGGGGCTAGATCTACCGGCGCCGTCACAACCTTTTCGTGTCCAGTTTCAAGGACATAAAGCTGTGTTAGCCGACCAGTCCTCGATGTACCATCGCAGAGCGGCCTTCTTGTCAGGAGGCACCACATGGTTCTTTAATAAAGCTGCTCCCCCTGGGAGCCTTCACAATCGAACCAGATGCATCTGTGGCGCCTCTAGACCGAGCAGGGCTCATCTCCTACGGACCTGCCCCAACACGGCCGATCTACGATGTGGCATTGCATTCCCCACCCACCGGGGGGAAGAGAGATTGTTGTCTAAACACTTGAGGGAGCAGCCTCTCCCACCACCCGCGGTTGACGAGGCCGGGCTGGTTGAAGAGGCGGCCGAGGCCATCCAGGAAGAGCTGGCGACATCACATGACATTGTGATTGCCACTGACGGCTCTGCCAAAAATGGAGTTGCAGCTCACTCGATTGTTGTCAACAAACGCGACCGGGTGTTCGCCGGTGGCAATGACAGCGAGGATCAGTCCTCGTTTCGTGCAGAGCTGTGTGCTTTAAAGCTTGCTTTGGAAGCGGTCAGAGTCGCCAGCTGCAATGGCGCCACTGGAAGTGTCACCATCGCCGTTGACTGCGAGGCCGCTCTTAAAGCCCGCTTTAATTGCCCGTCGATGCCACTCTTCGGAATGAGGCTTAGCTCGCTTGCTGCTGAAATTCGGAGTAATGGTGTTGAGCTCATTTTCATATGGGTTCCTGCACACAACCGCCATACGAGCTGGAGGTCCCCACTCTCTGCAGTCACGGCAGACCGCCTGCGGGCCCTCAATGATGCTGCAGATTGCTCGGCCAAGGAGTGTGTCCACAGGAGGCTCCGGGGTTCGCTCAGGGAAAAGTGGTGTAGCGAAGCAGCGCATGTCAAGGCATGGGAAGCTGCTGCTATCCGCGCTTCTGGCTGGGCGGCTCAAAGACTCTGTGAGCACTTGGAAACCTGTAATGCCACAAGCACTGCAGATCCAACTGCTGCCTGTCACCCCAGTCCCCACCCGGGGCCTGGTAGTTAGGGTTTAGTCCTGGGTGTCCCACCTTCTTGCGACTTCAGGCTGCCGTGGCTGCCTGTTGACTTGAACTGCAGGGCCAGGGAAAACACTAGGCTCTGGACAGCTGGGCGTCACTCTGACGGCACGTCTCCAGTGGGTCAAGACTGGCGGCTCCTTCTGGACTGCAAGGCTTGTTTGAGTACTACTTCTTCGCTGCGGCTGGTGGTTCTTGGCTGCGGTGGCTTCTACTCGAGCAGCTGGCGCGGTGGACTACCGCTGGGCTTCTACTTCCAGGTCTTGAGCACTTCGTTCTGCTTCGCTGCGGCTGCCGGCGCTGGGCTGCTGGCTTCTCTTCTTGCAGCAGGCAGAGGACGCGGTGTTCTGAGCTCCCACGTCGTCGTGACAACTGAAGCTCGCTAGTGTACAGTTTTCTGTAAAGTTTTAGTTTGAGGGCTTAGGCCCGGGAACCTCGGTCCTGCTTTGTACAACTCGAACCGTAGGTCCGGTAGGAGTGGAGCCGCACTTGTGCTTTTGGCTCTTCCTTAGGTCTGCACACGTGAGCTTTGCTGTACACTTCTGCTCTGCGTGTTGCCCGCTTGTTCACAAACAGCTGACAGCTCCTGGTGTGCTTGTACACTTACACTAGGAGTCTCCTCGCCCGAGTGTCGAAGCTATTCATGTCGGACCGCTGGCTACCATGAATACCGACATCATGTATAGGCTGTGACTGTGGGAGAGACAGCAGACACGTCTTGTGCTTTCGAGTGCAGGGCGCGAGTACTCAACAAGCAAAAAAAGAGTCCCTGCTAAGGAAGGCGATGACCACGGAGTTCCCCTCCACGCTAGTCCTCATGGAGCTCGCTGAGGAACTGTCCGCTAAAAACTGCGAGCTACAGCTGCAGTGG